CGATCCCGTGTCAGGTGAGGAGGTCGGGGATGGCGGTTGGAGTGGAATTGTCGCCTCGTCCGAGATGCCGAAGACGTCATGATGAGGTGAGGTTCGGGTATGTCCCGTCGGGGTGGAGTGCGCGTGTGTCCCGGGCTGCGCACGCGGCTTAGGCCTCGAGTCCTGGGGGGACACATACGCTTCCATCCTGGACTGCTTTTTTTGGCTCGTGGGGGCACGGGGTGTCTTCGGTGCCTTCCCGGTCCGCTTCATGGGTTAGTGGGGTGGGAGGGAGGAAGATCTACTGAAAAAATGTCTCCTGGGTCTGCAGAGCTCTGGCAATTAGCTTCTGCTTGGCGCCATGTCCAGGCCACACCCCCATACAGAATCATTTAAACCTACACTTCATTAGCCACCAAGGGAACATTTAACCCTTTCGCTGCCACCGACGTAAGGCATACGGCGGAACAAAAGTGTTCCCGGCTGGCCAGCTCAGTATGCCTTACGTCAGTGGCATTTACAGTTCTGCTATAAGCGCATGGTCATTTATTGACAGCAGCTCTGTAGCGTGGCCGAGTGGGGGATCGTTAAACCGCCCATTTCTGAACTGATCAATTGAAAGAAAGTAAATAGTGGTTGGGGAGTCGCTAATACAAACAATGCTTCCAAATCATATAAATACAAATACTTCTTTAAAAAAAAAGAGAAAAAGAAGGGAAAGAAGGAATAGAGAGAAGAAGAAAAGAAAAGGCCTCTGAAGAAGACTTCCTGGACACTGAAAAAGGCTTCCGCTCATTGACCACTGCTGATACCTCTAACCCTGCTGCCTGAGACGAGCCATCATCTCATCCAATAAGACTCTGAACATTTTTGTTTTGAAGGAGTGGTGAGATAGAGACTAATTATCGAAATTAACTTTCTTTTTTCCAAAATCATAGTGATTATATTTTATTATTAGTGTTTTTATTATAATTCATATTGACAGTGTGCAGGGTGAATTATTCTGATATTTTTCCATATCTTTTTCTATTTTATTTCTGATATTGTATTATATATGGTTAAATTGGGTACAGACCTGTGTGTAACTTTTGTAGGTATACTAGCCTGTTTGTTTCCTGTTAGACTAGTAAGCCTATTGTCTGAAGAACTCTTTAGGATTGTAAGGGAAATTTTACTTTTGAGATAAGTCTCTTTCTTTACTACGGCCGCCGAAAGTGAGAAACTGTGGTGTCTAGGTATTTTTAATTTGATATTTTGATAATTACTTTCTATTTATTTTCTTGATTGTGTATATGAATTATAATCACCAGTAATTTAAGTTTTGTACAGAAATATATGATTATATATATGATTATACTTGTATATTAATAAATTATTTTGATTTATTAATTTAATTGGGAGATATTTATATATTTTGGTAAGAAATAACTATGAGCTCAACCATAAGAACTCAAGAGAATTGATTTTGGGGTGTATTATTAAGTGTCTGAACTAAATTAATAAAAATAGTAAAATAGTAAAAATAATTGACACTAACCCCGCCGCACTGCCATCTGGTTGACATTCTCCATTGATGGGGGAGTTCCAGGGGGGGGGGCGCATCGCAGAACCTGACCTTGGGGCGGCAGGGAGAGTAAATCCGGCCCTGGG